GGCAGCCATTGATCCCCGGTTAGGCTAGGTTAACTTTGATGGCTCTGAGTCCCGCAGCCTAAAACGCCATTCATTGCATCTCTTTCAACGTTCAAGACAATTCTCTGGGGCTGACTCCGGTTCTTCTCCCTGCTTCTCCACACACCAACAGGTCCTCTGCCCAAGTTGGGTGCCTCATGGGTGAGGAACAGGGAGTAAGGGATTTCTGCTGACAAGGGACAGCAGAGGGGCCACGTGTCCCCTAAGTTAGAAGCAGCTACAACTCACTTTCTAACCCTAGACCCTTCTTCTAATCACGCCAGGAATGCAGCCTCAGCCTGGAGGAGGGCCTGTTCTATCATTGCCTCCCTTTGGATTGTCTTTCTTGTTGCCATGGTGATCCCTAGGCTACCCAGGATACCCATTGCTGCTCCAGAATTCTCTGCTTGGGCAGAGCAGCTCTCCTGTCAGCCTGTTTAGAACACCTTTCTTTTGACTATGATACACACAAGCTCTGCAAAACCCAACACCCGTTTGTCCAGACAGGTGAGTTAGGATGGACAATGGCTCCCAGAGATGAGCTCTGGGCAAACATTATGAAGTCAGACCACACATCACAGCCAAGGGGCTGGAAACCACTCTCCAACACAACAGCCACCAGGCTCTTCCCCACACCACACAAGGGCTTTCAACTCTGCACATGGGGACCGAAATCGGGAAAGTCACCCCTCAGGAGGGAAAGAAGAAAAGGGATCTCGCCAGAAGGAGGGCTAGGTAGGAAGAGTTTGCCAACACCCTTCTCCTCCAAGTGACTCTCAAACCCCATCCACAGTGGGCCAGGTCAGGCAGAGGGGGCAGCCTTCTTGGGATCTGCTTTGGCTCAGGACATCCCTGAACGCATTTGCCCTCCTACTAATTCCTGGTGATACACAAGGAAGGCACTGGCCTCAGACCTGGTCGATCTAGGAGCCCACACACCTAGTGTCTGCCCAAAGGGATAGCAATAAGCAATAAGAACCATCAGGATTTAGGAAAGGCACAGCCCGACAGGGAATGGACAGGGAAGCGGTGAGAAGCCAGGCCTGGAACTATGTATGAACTGTGTCCCCAGGCCAAGCCAGAGAAAGCACTCAGCCTCTTAGCCCCAGACAGACTAAGGGAAGCCAGAGCATCACTTGGGAATCAGCACTAAGGAAAACCCAGATTTGTATATAATCAACTCTAACCAGTACAGCCCTGTTTCTGTATCCTTACACCCTGGAATGAGGAAGGAGCTTTAAGAAGTAGTAAGGCCCATGGCTAGTGCTACAGCAGCCTCTGCTGGCAACCTCTGCCTTCCACACTGTGCCGGGGGTGGGTGGGGGGTGAAGCCCTGCATCTCAGTTGTTTGAGATGGTCCCATTGACTCCTGGTGTCTCAGCATCACTATTAATGCTGAGAACTCGTTCTCAGAAGTACCACAGTTCACACATGGATTTCAGTAGCCTTCAGTCACATACAAGGTCCAGATCCCAGAAAGCTTTCAAGAGTATAAAGAGAAATAGGTAGCACGTTAAGATCTCTGACCCCAGAGGCAAAGCATCTCTCTCCTCAGACCACGGGAGTGAATAATTTAGAGTCCTCTTTCCTGGGCTAGGACTAAGGCTTTTTGACAGTCCCACAGTGGAGAAGATGGAAAGCAGGTGTGTGTTGAGTAGGAGGGAGGACCTTGGCAGGAGAGTCTAAAGAAGGTAGAACGGATGAGACAGATCCAGAGGGTGAGGAGTGCCAAGGGCGTGACACGCTATTGATGCATGTGTCCAGCAGATGGCAACATAGAGCAGTCTGCATCAGCCTGTGGAAGGGACCTGCCTGAGCCAGGAAAGACTTCTGATGTCCTGCAGTCTCTCTCTCTCTCTCTCTCTCTCTCTCTCTCTCTCTCTCTCTCTCTGTTTCTCTCTCTCTCTCTCTCTCTCTCTCTCTCTGTTTCTCTCTCGCGCTCGCTCGCTCGCTCTGTGTGTGTGTGTGTGTGTGTGTGTGTGTGTGTGTGTTTTCTTGGTCCATTTCCCCACAGATGAGTCCTCAGGCTAAACTACAAAAATCACTAAAGAATACACTTCATAAGCCCTGTACCTACCATCCCCAGGAGAGGAAAAGTGGAAGAGGCCAGGCTTATTAGCTCCAAGGGAGTTGGATACCTGGAGCCCTCTGTTCTTTACCAGTGCCTGAGTGATGCCAAGCTCTAAGGGAACCCCTTTTCCCTCACCCATTGGGTGAGGGATTCTTGAGTACAGAGGTGAAGAGACTGGTATGATCTGGGGGGAACGTCGCCATGTTCTGTCATTCAGAGATATGCACGGTGATGGGCAATATCCACTTAACATCAGGATCTGCAGAATTTGAGGATCTGGGAACAGCAGCCATAGCCGCTATTTCATAGAGCTCTGTCAGGCAGAGAGAACCTGAGCTGCTACTGACAGGTCTCCAGCGTTTCCTCCTTCTGAGTCCCCTCCAAGCAAAGCAGTGGCCAGACTAGGAGAAGTCCAAGAAGGCACACCCTGCTGACACAAGCATATTACTGTCACAAGCTTGGGATGCTGTCCCAGGGCCCCAGTCCCAGACCACCTAGTTCACTATCTGTCCAAGACTCCCTAGATATGTGGATAGAGAAATTTTGGAGTCTTATGTTCCCTAGGCAGAAGGGGATTTTTCAGAAAAGGAATAATAAAGATCTCCAAATCCCAGGAAGATTCTGATGCCTTCAAAGATGTTCAGGCCACGTCTACACTTCATTTAAGAACTAGTCACTAAGTCTTCAAATTCACACTTGGTTAGTTGGTTGGTTAGTTGGTTGGTTAGTTGGTTGGTTAGTTGGTTAATTTTGCTTTGTACTAAAGGTTGGCCTCAAATTCACTATGTTAGCCCCAGCTGGCCTCAAACTCCCAATAATCCTCCTGACTCAGCCTCACAAGTTGCAGAGATCATAAGCATAGGCTACCACACCCAGGTTGCAAGCTCATTCTTGCTTGCCCAGTTCTTACCTTACGCTAGCCTCCGGTTGAATTCAACAAATATTAAATGTCTTGTATAGGCCAGGCTTTGTTCTGGTTACTGGAGATTGTGGCCTCTAGCTTTAATAAACTCTTAAGTCCACAGGCGAAGGAAAACATGAAGTTCGCTGTACGACAGAGCCCTCTACCAGAGTTGGGAATATAACTCATCGTGAGAGTAAGCCCCTGATGTCACTATGTCAGCAAGAGACGGGGAGAATGCCCAGGAAGGAAGTGACATTGAGCAGGGCACCACAGGATAAGAGCAGGAGGATTGGGGGAAAGTAGAGACATGGAAGCAACGCTCATTCAGGGTGTGTGTGGTCCAGGGAGTGACAAGAGGAGGTAGAGAAGTCCCACAGGCTGTGAAGTTTCTCCAGAAAAGGCTGAGAATGCTAGGCCTTACATAAGGGCTTTTTCCAGAACTTGCTTCCAGTAGGTGATTCCTAACCATGGCATTCTCTCTGGTGTCAGCACTCCTGCTTCTCCCTCCCAGTTCTCACAAAAAGCCACAGACTCCCTGCCTCTGGGCCTGGCAAAGCTACTTCATACATATCTGATTGGACAGTTCCATGTGCTAATGTGGCAGTTATGTGACCCAGCACATGGGACCATCAGTTAGCCTAGCTAATGAGATCTCTTCTAAGGAGCTGGAGAGCAAAGATCTGTGTGTGCCCTGGCCTCTTCCCACCCACAGTTCCCCAGTTCCCACCCAGCTGGTTATGAACCCAAGGGCCCCACAAACCCCAAACAGGATAAATGTTCAATGTTGTCCCTTGAAGCTCAGCAAAGACTCAATCAGGAAGCAGATCCTGGGAACATTGCAAATTTCTAAAGTAGAACTGGATGACAAGACCCCTCTGTAGCTGTGACAAACTGGACATCATCTAGTGACCCAGGTGGCTGCTTGAATGACGACTTTGCCACACTTTCACAAGCAAGCTCCAAACTGTGACTCAAGCTAAGTGCTGGCCAGGCATGATGGCTTTTGCCTATAATCTTGGCACATTCACGGTGGAGGCAAGAGGGTCAGGGGTTCAAGATTGTTCTTGGCTACATAGCAAGTTCAAAGCCACAGAAAGAAAGACACCTGTGCCCAGGCCTGACAGTCTGAGTTCCATGCCTGGGACCCACATGGCAGAAGTATAGAGCTGACTCCCATAAGCTGTTTTCTCCTATACTTTCACACACACACACACACACACACACACACACACACGCCATAAAAGTTTGCTTTAAAAGCATTAATGAACTTAGGGGTAGCAAATATACCCCAGCAGATATAGCATTTGCTTTAAAGGGCTGACTATCAGAGTTTGATCCCAGGAGCCCACATAATGGTAGAAGGAAAAAACCAACTCAACAAAGCTGTCCCCCACCCCCGCCTCCACACATAGGCTGTGGCATGCATGTACCACATCATACGCACATGTACAATAATGATAACATTTAAATTTTAATAAGTACTGATTAAACTCTGACACTGTGGGAGGCTACCCAGATCATACTCTGACCACGGCGCCCTGAGCTTACTGACATCGTGGCTCACAAAAGCGTTAGCGCAGCTAGAAAATTCTACTAAAAAAAAGAGTTAGTCTGTCTTTATAAGCTTTGGGATGGATAATTCAGACAAATGGTGACGCCACGGGGAAAGACCATTGAAAATGGCTAGTGTTGCTCCAGAATGGAATATATATTTGTCCCAAGACGGGTGACAGAGTGGGAAGTGTCCAAATGTGGGGGAGTAGCACTTAACAGCTACAGCTCTGGAACTGGTGTGGGGACTCATGGCTGTAGCCCCTCTCCTACTCTGGATCTAGGAGTAGTGTAATCGACACTGTGAGTCCACGCACCAGGGTGGGACACTTTGAGCTAGTGAAGGACAACGAAGGCTGAATGAAGAGCAAGTCACCTTCTAGACTCAGGGTCCTGTTTTGTGATTGCAGGTTCTGAAAAGCAGCCAGGTACCGGCAAACCAACGCAACCGGCAGGATGCAGCTCAACAATTTGACTCAAGAAACCTGGTGGGTGTGCAGGGCTGGGAGGACTGGAAGTAAGGGCAGGAAAGACATTTAAGGAGGTCAGAGCTTGGCTATGCTGTACACCCTCCCAGATAGACAGACAAACACACACACAAACACAGGACAGTCCCATACACACACACATGCATGCATACTTCACTGAGCACACACACACTCACACACACACACACTCACACACACACGCCTATGGTTCTGTACATATGTATAGTGAGCTATGCCTCACTGTATAGTCAGTCACACGCATGTGCAGTGGAAAATCACAGACCTAAGACAAGTAGCAGGGTTAAGGCTCGGCAATTATTTCCGCAGTCACCCGTTCCCCTAGATGCTGGTCATAACAGGCTATTGTTGGGGACACAGCTGTCTCCTGGTCCTCCCCTGAAGCCAGTACAGTGGTCTTAACATATAGAGATGTTCCATGGTAGCCTAAGACACTAACCTCAGAGCTGATGTCTGTGTAGCACTCAAGAGCTGGAGAACAGAGGCCAAAGTGAGCAGATACAGTAGGTCCCAGCCTTCTCCTCAGCCTTCTATCTATGCTCTGTGACTGTGGGTGGCTGTCAGAGTTGGCCATCTCCCAACCTGATATGCCTGCCACCTCTTCAACCCTTCTCTGCCCCCAAAATTCCTTTCCCCCTCTAATGCTGGCAGAGGACACAGGATTTGTCCTATTCCCACAGGCCTCGCATGACTAGGTCCCCACTACAGCCGCAGTTGCCCACACGCTGGCACCTAACAGCCTAAGGTTGTTCTATCTGAGGATTCTCTCACTCTCATCCCATCTGCCCACTCTACTTGACATACACCAATCAAAAATGCCCCTTTCTTTAACAGCTAAAGGCTGTCTGTCCATTCTTTACCAGTCTCTCTTGAGCCTCAAACACTTGGCCTTCCACTTGGGTCTGATATCTGACCACAAAAAAATCAGCTCACAGACCCATCCTTCCTTCCTGTCCCTGTGGAGCTACAGTGGCCTCATCAATGTCCTGGGTTGTACATCTGTAACTTTGATGACAGCAAGGAACAAAACCCTGATGTTCTCCTTTCTCTACCCCTTAGGAGACATGGACAACACCGTGCCTACTCCAGCGTCACTGAAAGGTTGTCTTGCTTGACTCTCCAGGAGCCGAGTGTCAGTCATCTCTACCGTAAGCCACCCATTCTCAACAGTCACAACATTCAAGATCAAAAGAAAGAACCAGACCAATCCTGGAATGTCTGCCTGGTTTTGCACTTGGGATGTAACTCAGTTTTTAGAGCAATTTCCCAGCATGCATGAGGTGCTGGGTTACATTTGCTAGACAAACCAGGCCTGTAATCCCATCACTTGGGAGGTAGAGGCAGGAAGATCAGACACTCAAGGCTGTCTCTGGCTACGAGGGGAATTCTTGGCTAACCTTAGTTACATAAGGCTCTCTCAAAAGAAAAAAAGGCAGAAGGAAGGAAGGAAGGAAGGAAGGAAGGAAGGAAGGAAGGAAGATTGCCTTTGTCATGTGGCCCTAAATGCAGACAGTCAGCTCCATTCCACCCCAACCCTTCCACTCTAGTTCTCAAGACTGATCTAGTCTCAAATAAATTAAAACCGGACCCATCTGGACAATTGTCCCTTCCTTCCTCTCTCCCTCCCTCCCTTCCTCCCTCTCTCTCTCTCTCTCTCTTCCTCTTCCCTTGGAGGGTGGTGGACAGCAAAAAGCTGCCCATAGGTAGGAAGGCTGAGATGGTCCTCCGTTCTTTTCTCTACTCTAGAGATTCTCCCTCCTGAAGACAGAAGATCCTACCTGCTTGATGACTCTTTATCCAATTCAATCCAGCGAGAGTCCCTGGCTGTCCCCATGGGGCTTGAGGACAGTGCCTCCAATGGTCAGGTAAAGTTAAGGATTCCAATCAAGCCTCAACCTGTGCCACCAATGCAGCAGTGTCCAGCAAGATCATAAACATTTGAAGAGACTATTAAGCCCTTACTCATGCCAATCATGATGCTAAACCCTTAGTTCCGATCTCCTCGGGAACCCTGAAAGGAACACATTCTACTGATTTTGCAAGTAAAGACATTGTAGCTCAGACAAGTAACTTTCTAGGGGACATCAGCAAGTGTTTAGGAGACTTCCCTCCCCACCACACACACACACACACACACAGACACACACACACACACACACACACACACACACACACACCCCTACTCTCACTTCCCCTACTTAACCCAGTAATGACCCCTCTGACCGAATAAACCTCCCAGCAGAAGCAGCAGCAGCCCGGGGCTGTCCACGAGGACCTGGAAGAGGAGGAAATAGCGCCAACAGACGTGAAATACCGGCTGCAGCTCCCCGAGGGGACCCCATTACGGAGCAAGAGTTCCAGTGTACACAGCCAGGGCCACAGGCCTGGATGGACCCCACTCAGCAAACCCCAGAGAGAGTGGTTCAAACCTGGGTGGACGGAGAACGTGACAAGTCCTGAGGACAAGCGCTCCCATTCAGGTAGGACTTACAGGTGGGGGTGGGGTGGAAGATGGCATGGAGCATAAAGGGAAGTCTGAGCCCTTGTTCCCAGACCCCTTGTTTATGTAGGACTCTGTCCCAGTCAGATCCCAGTGGTGGGGACAGCAACCCAGTAGAGCACAGCACAGAGCAAACGCTTGGTTCTTCCCCTTCAGTACTCCTTCAGGCATTGCCTGGCTCAAGGTTAGCCAGGATCACTCTGCCAGACTGTCTACCGTTCCTCCTTTGCCTTCCCTCCTTCGTGTCTTGACTGGGTCTGATGGCAGCCCCACAGCCCAGGCTTTTAAAATGAAGGGGCTGACTGAGGCTTGGATGTAGCTTAGTGGACAGATTGATTGTCTATCATATGTTAAGTCCTGGATTTGAGCCCCATTATTGCATTGCCAAAGACCAGCCTTGGTTTGGGAAGGGCTTCTGAGGGAAGGGGTGTCTGGGAGTGGCAAAAATGACCCGAAGTCAAGTTGTAGGTTGAAGCTAATGGCCCATGCTCTCTGCTCAAGACAGCCTTCCAGCCTGCTTTCTCTCTAGCCTGCTTTCTCTGGAGATCTCCATACAGTATCTCTCTCTCTCTCTCTGTGTGTGTGTCTCTGTGTCTCTGTCTCTCTCTGTCTCTCTCTGTCTCTGTCTCTCTCTCTCTGTCTCTCTCTCTCCCTCTGCTGCTACAGACAGTTCTCCAAGCAGCTCTCTCTTGCTATTCTAAAACACTCTCTCGATGGCTCCTCTCCTGCAGATAGTAAGCCCAGCCTTTTATTGTACGTACCAATCCAGTCACTCACACCAGGTTCCCTTTGGACTCTCCTGTGAACCAGCATCTCGTAACCCCAGCCTCTTATTTCTTAGGAGACAGCAAGCACACATTTTCTTTTAACTTTGCAAAAGAATTCCGAGATCTGCCTGCCTCTGTTAAGTACAGACTAGCATGAACTAGTTGGGTTGGACCAATTAGTGACTAGCATGAACTAGGTGGGACCTCATCCTGAAATTACCTTTTCTTCAACACTTAGACCTAAATTAGCTCTGTCCCAGGCTGACCTTAAACTCAGGAATCTGTCAGCCCGTATAAGCACAAACAAAAACTTTACTGGGTGGAATCTCCTGTAACCACCACTCTCTAAATCTCTTTCCCTCCTTAGTATCTTTTTTTTTCTGACAAGTTTGGCTCACAGTGCAGCTGCTTCTGTTTCTTTAGATTCATGAAGCCCCTCATATAATTTATATTGCATCTTTAATTTTTGAGAACTTCTATATTTTTGACCCCAGCCTTAAGGGCTGTCCAGAAGGTCCCAGTGTTTCCCATTTTGCTAACACTAGCCACACCTTTGGACTCGTGCTGTCTCTGATTATCATGGAGTCATTAATGTTAACAGGGAAGACAGTCCTGGCTGGAGGAAGGTAAAATATGTACATTATTATACAAATAAGCCTTATGCCTGCGGCAGCCATCAACAATCATGGAGGCCCATGCCCACTGGCCATGTCCCAGGGGCAGGAACCATGCCATTCTGTCCCCACCAGGGCCATGCCTGACCCGGCATTGCATAAAGCAGGCATGGTGATGCACACCTGTAATCCCAACGCTTGAAAAGTAGAAGAAGGAAGATCAGAAGTTCAAGTCCATCCTCAGCTACATACACAATACTTCCAGGTCACACCCAGGGCAGAACAACAACACCAAGAAGACAGCCGAGGCACTCGGAGTATGACAGCCAGGACCAGGACACTCAAGCCCTAGTGTGGAGTCAAGCCCTCTTCCCTGGTCTAGACAAGAGCAGTCAGGGAGTCCTGTGAGTAGGCGGAGCTGAGACCAAACCCTTGCCCGGGATGCAGGGCCATGTGGGCGGAAGTAGGGAAAGGAGGGGCCTATTTCCCAAGGCACAGGTGCTATCTGACATTCTGTCATCTCAGAGAAACAACTGTTGACAACTATTAAGTAGTAGAGCAGAAATCTTAGACTTCCCTCTAGTTCAGCTTTAACCTGACCTCTGACATCACCTGAGATTTGAGCAAAGACAAACTGGTAGGGGGGAGTAGGATCCTAAATTCAAGGTCAGCCCTGTCCCCTGTGCATTCTTGGAAGACATAAGCCCCCCGCCCCCATGCAAGCTGGGAAAGCCCAGGCTTACCTGTCTCACAGGAGAACAGAATATCTTTGACCTGCTATGGCCCTCTATGGCCCCAGACGGTCCTTTACCTCATCCCTATTCAGTTAGGAAGCCCAACTTGAACCCAGAGACACTACCATGTGCCTTGCAAATGTCCCACAGCAGTAGATGGAAGAAATGATGTCTGTCTTAAAGTGACCTAGTCAAGAGCCTAATGACAAAAGACACTACAAACTTCCAAACAAACTTCCAAGCTCCCTTTTCCCCAACTTCCCCCAGCCTCAAGCTGCAGCCTCTCTCTCACTACCTGCTGGAGGTGGGGGGAGGTAGTACTCTCCCTGTGGCCCTATCCCACAGCAGCAGATGACCTCTCCGCTAAGTCACAGCATGATAACTGAGAAAAAAGAAAAAAAGAAACATAAAATAAACTGAATTTTTTTCTTTCTAGAGAAGCAAGAAAGAAATTTTCACTTGAAAGTACCTAAAAACATATTGTTTCATTTAGGCAGACCCACAAACAGAAGGCAAGGAGTCAAGTCCATGTCACGGGCCCTTCTGTTTAGGTCGCCTGGGTTGGCTCAGGGGGAGAGAGAGACCATCACCAATAGAATCTTTTGTTCCCCATGCAGCCAATCCACCCAGCAAGCGTCGAGGGAGAGGGAAATGGTACCTGTTTGGTCCACGACCCATTCGCATCAGGAGATGGGCCAGAAAAAGCATGGGATAGCCTTTGTGGGGACAAAGAGAACTGCCAAGTTGAATGAAGCCACAATGGCCAGGGTAAAGTGCTCAAGCTTCCCTGTCACGAGGTAACCAGGGCTGGGGTTCCATTGGCAGAGTGTTTACTTAGCAATCCTGAAGCCCTAGGTTCGATTCTCAGTACTATAAAAACTGGGCATGGTGGTGCGTGTCTCAGCACTTGGACGGTGGAAGCAGGAGGGTCAGAAATTCAAAGTCACTCTTGGCTACAAATTGGCTTGCTTAAGCTACAAGATGTTATTGGGGTTTTTTGTTTGCTTGTTTTGTTTTTTGTTTTGGGTTTTTTTATGGTTGTTTGTTTGTTTTTTTTTTTTAAGCCAGGTGGTGACAGTACACCTCTTTAATCCTAGAATTTGGCAGGCAGATCTCTGTGAGTTTGACACCAGCCTGGTCTACAGAGCGAATACCAGGACAGCCAGAGCTACACAGAGATACCCTGTCTGGGAGGGGTAGGGTCCTAATTCCTCCTTCAGGGGAAAGAGAACAATGGGGCCTGCCACCATTTTGATTACCCTGGGAAACTCGGAAATACATTTCTGGCTTTCTCTGGTCCACAACCACTCCATGCTGCCCAGCTGACAAGTGCAGTTAAAAGCTGTCACTCTTTCTCAGATGTCCTGTCTGCCACCTCTCAAGTTCCTGGAAAAAAAAGTGAAGAGCAGGTGTCCCCCCAACACAGCTGGGATCATCCAAGGCAGATTACAATCCGAACTGACCAGCAAGCAATTCTTCCAAGACTGGAGAGCCCAGCCCCAAGGGCGCTTTGGAAGCCATGAAAAGCTCCTGGTAGGAACTGCAAAGCAGTTCAAGTTAATCTTTAAAAAAAAATAAGTATTTTTTTGTATTATTATTTTATTTTATATGCATGGGTGTTTTGCCTGCATGTGTGTCTGTGTACTATGTACTGGAGCCTGTGGAGAAGAGGCCTCAAATCACCTGGAACTGCAGTGACATTTGTGAGCTGGCAGCCAGTGCTCTTAACCACTGAACCATCTCTCTAGACCGTTACCAGGTAGAGGTGGCTTTACCAACTGAGCTAATACCTCACTTGCCAGCAGCTAATATCTCAATTTTGAACAAGACTATTTCCTAACCCTGCTTACTAAACACTAGAAAGCCCATTTTAAATCTTTTATTATTATTATTATACACGTGTGTGTGTGTGTGTGTGTGTGTGTGTGTGTGTGTGTCTATGTGCCTGTGTAGGAATATGTACATTTGAATGCAGGTGACCTCAGAGGCCAGAGATGTCTGATCCCAGGAGCTGGAGTTGGATGGTTTGTAAGCTCTTCAGTGTGGGTGTTGGGACCCAAGCTCATGTCCTCAGTGGTTAACTGTTCTTAACCACTGAGCATCTGTCCAGCCCTAGAGCTCCCATTTTTACCTGGGGCAGAATAAAGTCCTTGAGGTTCCTTACCTAACAAATGGGCTCAGACTGTGATGCAGAGGAGGGGAGTTAGTCCTTAATCAGCTGATTCTGTCCCTGGGTTCACAGGTGCCATTTGAGGATCAGGTCAATGCGAAGGTCACATACATGCCCCTGTTTTCTGAAAGAGTGAAGTTTGTGAGCCCCAAAACAGCTGCATCAAACCTGAAACAAACACATTCTCAAATGAATAAGAAAAATCAACCAGGTACGAGGGTGAGACCCAGTCATCCCCAGACACAGTACCTTAGCGACGCAGCTCCATCTTGGACCTCTAATCTCTGCCTGCTTTCCCAGGTCAGCTCCAGAATTTGGCCTCCCCAAAAGAACATCTGGACGAAAGGACTGCCTGAATAAATTCTGGGAAATCACAACAGAAGCCTGCAATCCCAGCACTCCGCTCCGCTGAGGCAGACCTGCTGTAAGTTCTAGGCCAGCATGGGCTGTAGTGTGAGACTCTGTCACACAGACAGAAATCCCAGGCATGACGGAACACAACTGTACTTATAGCACTTGGGAGGCGGAGGCGGAGGCAGGAGGATTCCCTGTACTGCTTAGGGAGTTTGAAAAAAGCCTGGGCTACATGAAACCCTGGAGAGGGGGTTGGGGGGGGGAGGCAAGCAAAGAAGCACAAGGTCTTTAAAATAACTACCTCATCCTAGACTCAGCTTTCAGAACAGCTGCTGCCACTTGTGCAATGTCTTGGGATGCTAGCAGAACAAGACTGAGTTGTTTCTATGGGGAGGAATGCTGTTCCATTGTCCCAGAAGGACAGTTGTGTTCCAGAAGACCTGAGAAGAGAGGTCAGTAATGTTTGTAATCAGTGAGGCAGTGGCAAAGCACCCAGGCTTTGCCAGCCCTACCCATGGGTTACACTCTGTTTGAGCCACTTGAGAGGCTGCTCCTGTGCTGTTTCTCTTTTTAAACCGAGATGTAAAACTCCACACACCGTAACCCTTTTAGCACGTACAGCTCGGTGGTTCATTGCTTAAATCGGTGTGGTAGTGGTACCCACTTATAATTCCAGTGTTTGGGAGGCTGAGGCAGGAGGATTACTGTGATTCTGAGGCCAGCCTGGGAATCCACACAGTAAAACTGTCTCAAACAAAACAAAATTAAATTAAAAAAAATTAAGCCGAAACCTGAGCGTAGAGGAGAAGGTACAAGATGAAGTAGAGGACAAAGGGGTATTAATTTTATTAAAAGGAGAAAACAGTGGGGGGGAGGGGCCTTGGGGGGGGGAAGCACTTGGCTACACAAGCCTGGTGATCTGAGTTTAAGCCCTGTAATCCATGGTGGAAGGAAAGACCTGACTCCCAAAATTGTCCTCTAATCTCCAAATATATGCATGGCATGCCATACCTGCATTCACACACACACACACACACACACAAACACAATCATAGGATAACAATGAAAAATTTTTAAATGTCTTCTAGGTACAGACAGAAAGGTCCCCCAAACCCAAGAAAGATTCTGATCAAAATCTAATTACTAGGTGACTATCTTGAAACTATGATTTTAGGTGTGGTTGTGAAGTCAAGGTACAGGAAGTGAATTTAGCCCCCTTACCCTTGGAACTGTGCAAACCCCGGCACCCCTTTAATTTTCATTAAGACACGGTCTCTATACACAGCCCCAGCTTTCCTGCAACTCACTATGTAAACTAGACGGGCCTCAAACTCACAGAGATCCACCTGCTTCTGCCTTGCAAGTACTGGGATTAAAACCCAAGATTTTGAAGTTTATGCAGACCATGGCACTGCTAGTCTCAATTGAGAAAAAGCATGTCATACTGCCCTCTAGTGACCAGCCTAGGGAATGTCAGCCAGCTGCAAGCAAGGCCGACTGTGGTCTCTGGCATTCTCCTAAGGCAGAGAAACAGTATACATCTTAATCAAGGTCAACAGGCGCAGAGCCCACCCAGAATAGAATCTTTATTCTCTTCCTACACTTCAGTCTCTGCTTGAAAACATAACCTCTGAGAAACTGTGAGGCTCTTAAAACTGCAGTTATAACGTGAACTCTGTACCTTGAGAAAACCCTGTACAGAAAGCCTGTGTCAACAGACTAGGAGTTGAATGTGCTCACCTCCACCTGTGTCCAAGAAAAGTGGCTGGACTGGTGGCCTGAAGATCCCTCCTGGAGTCCCTTGGAGGAATTTTAACACCTCTTAAAACTATTTTTGAAATTATACCTCTATTTCCTTGTTGCGTGTGGGCAGGTAGGGTACATGCCATGTTGGAGGTCCATCCGAGGACAACTTGCAGGAGTTCTTTCCCTGGGGGAACTGGGGGAATCGAACTCTGGTCATCTGACTTGGCATCGAGTCCCTTTTTCACGGAACCATCTTCCTGGTCCTAAAGGTCTTTTTTTGGGCAGGGGGAGGGTAATTTTACACTTAAAGATATTTGTAGAGACAGCATAATGTGTTCTTTCTTCTAAGCTTAACATCTTTTTTTTTTCTTTTTGGTTTTTTGAGACAGGGTTTCTCTGTATAGCCCTGGCTGTCCTGGAACTCACTCTGTAGACCAGGCTAGCCTCAAACTCAGAAATCTGCCTGCCTCTGCCTCCCAAGTGCTGGGATTAAAGGCGTGCACCACCACTGCCTGGCTTTAAGCTTAATATCTTAAGAAACTAAAGGACCTCAGAAAACTGAGATATGGAGCACTAGTAATTTGTATGAACTAAATAACTAGATTTACCATTAGACTTTCCATTAATACTCTGTTTTGGCTGTTTTTTGGCTTTTGTTTTTTGAAAGACAGGGTTTCACGTAGCACTAGGCTGACCTCCAAGTCCAAGAAAACCTTGAACTTCTGAGCCTCCTGCCTATACCTCCCAAGTGATGAGCGTATAGCCACATCTGGTTTATATGGTGCTGGGGATTGGACACAGGGTACTCTAGCAACGGAGCTACGTCTCTAGCCCCTCGGCTTCTCAGAGGACAAAATGAGCCAGAGTGGTGTAGAGAACAAACCAGAAGCTCTGGCCCCAGTGGCCAGTCTAACTTGTAGAATATTTTCATCTCATAAATATTGATTATATACATAATCATTTTCTTTTTCTTTCTTCCTCCTCCTCTTCCTCTTCCTTCTCTTCCTCCTCCTTGACCCTCCTAAATAACACTGTACCAGGCTGCTGGCTGTGGGGATTTATAGGTATAATCTTCTTACAGAAGTAACAGAAGTCCAAGGACAACATAGCCATTGTGAGAAGCCTGTGCTAACTTCCCATGGGGGCCAGGGTGGGGAGGGGCCCTCATTTATTCCCTGGAGATAGAGCACTGACTTGTTTTTTTGAGCCTAAATTGGCCTTGAACCCCCCCCCCCATCTTCCTGCCTCTGTCTCCTAAATTCTGGAATTACAAACATGTCACCATGGCCTGGCTTCTGTCTTTATTATTCTTTCTAAAATTACCTTTACTGTTGTGTTTGTGAGCATGCACACATGTTTTTGTGTGATGGCTCCTTCTACCACGTGGGTCTCAGAGGACAAACTCAGGCTCTCGGGCCATTTCACTGGCCCTGACTTTAAAAGAGAAAATTCCACCATAGGAATTCATAGCTTTACCAACTTCCTTAGCAGAAGTAGTACCTGTGGGCTAGAGAGAATGGCTCAGCAGTTAAGAGCACTGATTGCTCTTCCAGAGGTCCTGAGTTCAATTCTAAGCAACCATATGGTGGCTCATAACCTTACAGATACATGAAAAATGAGCAAAGTCCCTTAATAACCATGAAGATATATAAAGATGGTCAACATCATCACCCATTATGGAAATTAGTATCACCTTCCATCCACCAGGATAGCTGTAGTAAAAACACCTAGTACAGACAAGGTTGCAGGGAAGCCCAAACTCTCATAGACTCTTGGGAAGAGACCTGGTGCTTACTCAACAAGTCAAAACAGAGTTCCATATGACTCGATGACCCCACTCCCAAGTCTGTATACAGACACACACACACACACACACACACCATTAGAGAAAATAAAAGCATCCACCCCAAACCTTGTATACCAATTATTCACAGCAGCAGTATTCATAACAATCAAGAGTGGAAACATTTGTGTCCACCAAATCATGAATAAAATGTGTGTAATGAACACACACGGAACTGTTCAGTCAAAAAGGAAAGGAACGGATTGAGCTTGGATACATGTGACACGAAAGGAGGCAGGCACAGAAGGCCACAGATTGGATGACACGTGTACTCACACTCAAGCTACACCAGTCTCAAGGAACCAAATCTTTCTTGGGAGAAAGTGAGCCAGGGCTTGCCCAGGGCAGAGACAGTGAGGGAAATGACCAAGAATGGACACAAGTTTCCGGTATCCACAATATTTCAAATTCATATGCTCACAGCTGCACCTCCCCATAATGTATCAAAACCCACTGATTCTACATGAAAGGACCATAAACTAATTTAATTCAATAAAGTTACGGATTTGTTGTTCTGTTTTTAAGAAAATATAAAACATCTATTATCATAGCTTTTATGAGTCACTGAGCCTAAGCTAGTGGCTCTACTCCCGGAGGCTTGGGTCAAGTTACAGATGAGAGCTGTAGGCACCTAACTGGCTTCTGCCCTGGGGAAAGCCCCAGTCTTCTCCACATGATGCCCTGGAGGGCTGGAGTGTTCAATGGGGAAATCTTTCTTCACACAAGCCATCCAAGAAAGGGTAGAGTGTATCTCTGTCTTTCATGATCATTCAGAAATCACATGGTTCTGACATATATTAGTCATGCCTCAAGCCCTATTCACTCCGGCAGGGGACTACCCAAGGGCTTGAGTGCCAGAGAACAGAGACCCAGAGAGCCACTGGAAGCTGCCTACCACACTTGATGCTAATGAAGACAATGATACTAACAGCTAAGGAGAGTCACTATATGCCAGGCAGTTTTAAACTCACAGTAAGCATGAGGTGGGCACTCTTCTAGTTCACAGAAGCAGCTAAGGCTCAGAGAAGTTACACAGCTCACAGGTCACGTTAGCAAATGACTGGGCTGACGGTCAGTTTCTAGCAGCACACGCCAGTGCCCCCTTCTCAACGACCACACAGTACTGCTTCCCAGTCTTCCTTCCCAGATGTCCTGTTCATCTGCATCCCTCAATAGACGCCAGTGGAAACGGAGTTTACCTCCTCCATGAGACCTGGCTTTGCCACACTAATAGCTGTGGAATAGAAAATGTTTTTATTTGCATTCAGTTAACTGGGAGTGGGACAATGTGCTTACTAACTGTCTAGGTTGGATTTTCTCCATTTCTCTATTTTCACGGTTGTCTTTTCCTTTCTGATTTGTAGAGTTTGGTCACGAAGTCACTCCTTCATGTCCGCAATCCCTCTGTTATACACTGCCAGTGTCTTCTCGGTGTCTATAGTCATCCTTACCTCTGACATGACCTGCTCTGCTGCACAGAGAGCCCTGCATTATGCAGCAGCCAGAGCAATCGGTCTGTGGTTTGCTGTGTGAGGTACAACCGTCATGTGCTCCCTTCCCGTTTCATTACTACTTGTGTAGGGTCAGAAACCCAGGGCCCCCTCTGTGCCACACTGCAGCTTCAGTGTACCGTTCCCCTGGGGCCTTCATCGCTTCAGGACTGCTGACTTGGTGTGAGAGAGGGAGCCCACTCCATGTAATCTAGTTCTCTGAGCCTCAGCAGCCGCCTTTCCCACTAACATGTGACATGTAACTAACATGTTCCCACACACAAGGTCCAATAGTCCTGAACGTGGTCTAACACCAAATTCTGATTTTCACAGAAGAATGCTTTACCCACAGTTAAATTAATGAAAACTCCAATCACTCATTACTCCCAAGACCCCCAAAAGTTTGATATTAGCTGGAATTCTTTCCCAAGCAGAATACCCAGTTAGGAAATGATTACGAAAAAATAAATATGTGTTTATTTTTAAGAAAAAGAAAAGCACTGGCCAAGAACAACCTGGGACAAAGAAGTCACCCTGTCCTGCCAAAGCCAGCCACAGACAGCAAGGGCACAGCCAAGATTAGGTGCCTAGTCCAGAGGTCAGACTGACAGCAACTTGCTGGTCTGTGTCTCTTAGCAGGACTCCATTAGAGCTGGATGTGTGGTGGTACTTTGAGCACCACAGCATCACAGCCTCAGGGAGGTCACACATCCTCAGGGATGTCACACATCCTCAGGGAGGTCACATGTCCTCAGGGAGGTCACACATCCTCAGGGAGGTCACACATCCTCAGGGAGGTCACATGTCCTCAACGCTCCACTTGTAGGCAAGCTCCTCCACAGCTTTCTTGCTGGCCAGCCTGGCAAAGCGCTTCTGTTCAAAGCCATTGGATCTGCAATCAAAAGAAAAGTTCTGTCAGCCAAAACTCTCAGCGCTTATTTGAAAAGTGGAAAGGAGCCAGGCAGTGGTGGCACACGCCTTTGATTCCAGAACTCAGGAGGCAGAGACAGGCAGATCTGAGTTTGAGGCTAGCCTGGACTACAGAGAGTTCCAGAACTGCCAGAGCTACGCAGAAAAACCCTGCTTCAAACAAACAAACAAAAAGAAAGGAAAGCTATTCATGGGAAAATATTTAAACCATATGTTAAAAAACCAAAGCAACAAAACACACAAATTAACCCTCTTTTCAGTCCCGGTTCAGACTTATTAGACAATTCTTTCAAACTTTCACTATTCTCTACAAAGACTCAACACAGCTCGGCCTTAAGTCCCAGGTACTCCAAAGCCTGGGGAAGGAGGATCATAAATCCAAGGCCTGCAAGGGCTACAGAGTTAGTTCATGGTTAGCCTGGACAATTTCATGAAGCCCTGCCTCAAAATAAATAGTAAGATGACCCTGGGGCTATCACTCAGTGGCAGAGGCAGAGCCCCTACCAGGCTATGAGCTCAATACAAGGTACCAAACCAAAGCACAACTCACTCATGGCTAATCTCAACAGGCACCACAGTCTAACCACTGGTTACAAGTGTACCGAGTTCTCACTGGACATTAGGTGCTACAGACAGGAAAATGAACGACACAGCACCTGTCCTGACAAACTCAGACAAGCGACACACACATTTAAATGATAACTAAAAATCAAAGGCCAGCGCTGAAAAAATGGCTCAGGTGTTAAAAGCATTTGCTGCTCTTACAAAACCAAAATTCGAATCCCCAGCACTACTGGATAGGCCCACAACCATCCAGCTCCAAGGGACCCAAACCCTCTTCTGGATCACAGACACTGACACACAGGTGCACACACACACACACACAGGTACACACACAGAGACACACATGCGCGCTCACGAACGTGCACAAACACACACACGCACACACACTAAATTCAGACTGAAGAGATGGCTCAGCCGTCGAGAACACGGGGGTCCTCTGGAGAACCCATATGTCAGCTCATTCTCATCAGTAACTCTAGTCCCAGGAAATCCAAAGCTGCTTCTGCCCTGAGGGTGATGTGCAGACACAAAGCTAAAATACCCATAAAAACAAACAAAAAAGTTAAAAGTTAAATAAAAAAAATAAAACAAAAGGGAAAACTGTTAGAAATGTGTGAGATGTCAAAAACCCAGAATGAGCTTGTGGGAATATCGGACGTAAAAGGATCGGAAGGACTGAGCAAGGAAGGGCCTTTGTGGGAGAGGCCCGGAGCTATGCCTGAAAGCAACAGACGCACAGGCACAGAAACAAGAGGCCTGCTCTCTGTGAGGGGTAACGGGTGGAGTTTTCACTGCCGTGGCCAGAGACTACCCTGTGACAAAGGGTGTGGCCATGAGTCAGCATTGGAAAGACAGGGTGAGGCCAAATCCCAGTGAGTTTAGGACATCGTAAAAACAAACAAATACAGATTCCATCCAAGAAAGACTGACTTAAAACTGCATTTCAGAGACATCTCTAGAGACGTGCACTGCCGGGCAGTAGTGGACGCAGGCAGATTTCTGAGTTCGAGGCCAGCCTGGTCTACAGACTGAGTTTCAGGACAGCCAGGGCTACACAGAGAAACCCTGTCTCAAAAACAAACAAAAACAAAAACAAAACAAAAAAAAAGAAGAGATGTGCACTAAGAAAGTTACTAGCACAGAGGCCTGCACAAGAGATGAAGGCAATGACCAGGCAGTGATGCCAGGTCGGGACGGCAACAGGGGCCATCGAGAGGAAAGAGCAGTAGGACTGGGGAACTCAGTAGTCACAGCCAACGGTGTGCCTCAGGGTCAGTGATCTGATACAGCAGATAAGTGAAGATGTCACCTCACAGGCGGTATGCTCTGCATGTGTGAACAGCACTTGAGGCCCCTCAGGTGCACAGGGCCAGAGGACCGACTACACACTGGAACCACACACAGTGGCTGAAGGCCTGACTTGGAAAGAGGCAACCAGGAGGAGCAGGAGAGCAGGGAGGGTTCCAGAAAGAGAACTGAAGACCACTGAAGGGGAACAGAGAAAGGGTGCTCACAGGGGCCACGACAGGACAAATAACAGGAACAGGTCATCATGGAACCAGTTCTGGAGGAGGTTCAAGTACACAGTGAGCAGACCACAAACTTCAAACCCATCCCACCCTCTCTCTCTCTGAATTGCCACCCCTTTTTCATTATTCATTGTAGTATTTATTTTCCTTTGAGTCAAAACACACACACACACACACAAGAGAAACGTGTACATTTGGGGCTCCAAATAAAGACAACAACACAAACAGGGCAGGAGGCACTCTGGTGGCAGGAGGCACTTCTGGTACAGGCACCACTGGAACACGATCCACCATGGGCTATGGAGCAAGTGAGTTCAGGAAAACCCTCCTGCCAAAGATTCTGCAGGGTGACCCACAAGCACAGTAGCCAGACAGCCTACAACTGCAGTCCCTCTGAGGCTCTTGACCTCAGGAAGAACTGGAGCCAGATTCCAGAAGCAGCTTGAGGGACAGAAGATAATGCCTTAGGCTGGCATAAGTGGGAAGTGGATTCTGACACACAAATAGCAATTATAAAACCTGGACAAAATAAGTAGTGGTTTAAGGCATGGATGAGCGCTAAAGCAGGAAAAAAAGTTCAATAGGAGTGGGTTAGCAGAGGGTCAGCTCTCAGTCCACATAGCTCTAGTAGGCCACAGGCAGAACCACGGGCTGACTGGCTTGAGATGTTAGTGGTAGTGGGAAGAGCGGCTACAATTAAGAAGCCCTGGGAGAGAGACACTGCAAAGGGGATAAAGCCTGGTTATCTACAGCAAAGGTTACACCAAGCTTTGGTGACTCACTATGCATGGGCAGAAGACCACTACCAGCCCTGTCAGAGTGAAGCAGCCAGAGGAAAGACTTGAGTCAAGAGGTTAGCTGCTGCCCACTGCAAGGGAGACAGAGATTCAGTGTGGAGTAAAACTCCAGACAAGAATCAACAGAAAATGGAACAGGATCCAAATGTCCACCATGGATCACTCACAGATAAAAGATCTCACAAATAAACCAACAGGAAGATAACATGTACTCAAAAAAAGTTAACCAGTTACGGTGTGTGTCACCCACATATAATTTCAACGGTCAAAAGGCTATGGCAGGAGGGTCTGAGTTCAAGATCAGTTTGGGCTACAAGCCAGCTCTAAACCAGACTGGCCTACAAAGTGAGACCCTGTCTCAAAAAGAGAAGGGAGTCAGGGGACAGGTTGTCAACAGAAAGCAATTCTATGGTGAAGAGAATGTTGCAACTAGCAGACAAAACTTCAAAACACCATTTATAAATATTTTCCAAAAAGAGAAAATAGTCTCTAAATGGGTGAGCAGATGGGAAATCTCAGTGGAGACATGCAAGCCATCAAATGGGAATTCTGGACTCAAAGCAGCTGAAACATAATAGCAACTGACAGAAAACAACTAAGATATCAGGACCAGCTCTCTCCTGCAGCCGAGCAAGATGCCCAAAGGAAAGAAGGCCAAGGGGAAGAAGGTGGCCCCAGCCCCTGCCATTGTCAAGAAACAGGAAGCCAAAAGGTGGTCAATCCTTTGTTCAAGAAAAGGCCCAAGAACTTCGGCATTGGGCAGGACATTCAGCCCAAAAGAGATCTAACACGCTTCATCAAATGGCCCCACTACATCAGGCTGCAGCAGCAAAGAGCCATCCTCTATAAGCGGCTCAAAGTACCTCCTGCCATTAACCAGTTCACCCAGGCCCTAGACAGGCAAACAGCTACTCAGCTGCGTAAGCTTGCCCACAAGTACAGGCCAGAGACAAAGCAAGAGAAGAAGCAAAGGCTACTGGCCCGTGCTGAGAAGAAAGCTGCTGGCAAAGGAGATGTCCCAACTAAGAGACCACCTGTCCTCCGAGCAGGAGTCAATACAATCACCACCTTGGTGGAGAATAAGAAGGCTCAGCTGGTGGTGATTGCCCATGATGTAGATCCCATTGAGCTGGTGGTTTTCCTGCCTGCCCTGTGTCGAGAGATGGGGGTGCCCTACTGCATCACCAAGGGAAAGGCCAGGCTGGGCGCCTGGTCCACAGGAAGACATGCACCACTGTTGCCTTCACACAGGTTAACTCGGAAGACAAGGTGCTCTGGCTAAGCTGACGGAAGCCATTAGGACCAATTATAATGACAGATGTGATGAGGTCTGTCACCACTGGGGAGGCAACGTCCTGGGTCCTAAGTCTGTGCTTGAATTGCCAAGCTGGAAAAGGCAAAGGCTAAAGAACTCGCCACTAAACTGGGTTAAAAAATGTACACTAAGTTTTCTGTACATAAATATAATCACAAAATTATCTTCCAAAAAAAAATATCAGGACCATTCTGTAAATTCTCAAGCCACCTTAGCCTAACAGATTTTTATAAATTATAGCACCATCATCCCAAGTAATTGTTCAATGTATATTAAGGGCATCAGTCACTAGAGTTAAAAGAATGTGAAAATACTCAACATGTATTTCAGAGAACTTTCTCAATATACTAAAGTGATTTTCTGATGGTGTATATATAATAAAAACATCAGCATTTGGAAGGTGTTTACAACTCAGCAAACCTACATGTTACAAATGACCAATATATGATTCACAGTACGCACTGGTAAAAGACGTGAAGTATAATGAAGACCATGACTGGAAAGACGATGGCTCAGGAGCTTCCAGAGGACCTGGGTTCAATTCCTAGCACCCAACTCTAATTCCAGTCTCAAGGGATCTGACAACCCCTTCTGCCTGCCAAGACTACTTCCTGCACAATATTTATATGTAGGCAAAACACCCATACATACAAAATAAAGAGGGAAAAAAAGACCATGAATCATGCAGCCGTGGTGGCACATGCTTTTAATCCCAGAACTTGGTAGGTAGATCTGAGTCCAAGGCCAGCCTGTCTAT